TTGTAGCTGTGTTCCACCATCGCTGCAATACATTTACAAGGACTCTAAGTTGAGATACTTATTTCATTTACGTTTACGCTCTCTTCCTTTTTTACCTAGACTGAAAAACAAATGAGAAGGGAGACAGGATCTGCCGGTTTCTTTGTTGACAAGAAATACAATTAAGTACTACATGACCTGTTGAGGACATATTAGCGATATGTCTTTCGCTTGGCTGTGAAGGTGAAGAGTATTTGTCGCATGAAACCATTTTTTAGAAAAAGGGATTATTGTATTTTTTTGGGTCATAGTTTGGCAAGTCAACACCTAGATTCCCTGATTGTTTCACAAACGTGCCGTTAATGGAAACAGCCTACCTTTGTGCAGCTTCATTCAGTCCAAAAAATGTTAGTTATAGATTTAAGGTTAGACAGAAACTATGGAGAACCGAAATATTTTTATTTTATAATGATGACATCGTATATTCCACTAGAAAGTTTGCATGAAAGAGTGCTTAGTGTAATTTATAACTGCATGAAAGGCTTATAGAATTATGCACGCCTTTGTAAAAATAAATTATCAACTTTAATTATAAGGATAATGCGAGATGCAAAATGTCATGTTAGCTGTATGTTCATGAGTATACCATTTCAGTCATACTGTAACTATTCCGTTTGTATTCTTTTTACGCTGGTTGTAATGGAGTAATTGTTTATATATATATATATATATATATATATATATATATATATATATATATATATATATATATATATATATATATATATATAGGCACATGTTGGCGCTAATGAATTCCTAGTGTATGTTAATAAATCTACCATTTTCACTGTTTGTGATATTAACTGGTCATTTGAAGGATTAATAACAATTTCTTCACATTAAAAAATGTATTTCTCTCATGGGAATGGTAATTAATTTGTATCTTTGTATTTTCCTATGAGTGTAAAACAAATTTGTTCGTTCTAATCGACGTTTTGCTTCTTAATGTGTAAGTTTTTTTCAATGTCACGGTAAACCGAAATTTATAATATCTGAGCTTCTATATTATACTTTGTTCTAAGATTTTTGGATTTGTAATTCTTTGTTGACAAATCCTTAATAAAGATGACTATCATACGTATTATGTAAGATGTGATGAGTGTATATATTTCAGATAGAGGTTTACATGTACATATGAACTTATAGTTTTTATAGGGTATTTGTTTGCTACGTCAGTTTGTGGGACTTAGTTGGAACCAGGTATAGCCATGCTTTATTCGCTCATTTCTATTTAGGCAATATTTAGTCAATTGTATTATAATTTACTTATTAGAGGTTGATAGTGGCATCCCGGGTGCGAATTTCACCCTATTTAGGACTCGTCAGCAGGATTTGCCTGAATGATGGTGTTCAAAAAGGGACTCGAAGTCATTACTCATCGATTCTAAGGTTAAAGCGTTATCCACCATGTTACTGAAACAATAACGCGCTTTATGTGGAGCGATCCTTAGGTGTTACTCATAATTTTTTAAAGCCTTTTAGAATAATTTGGATATGGTCAAAGTTTACCTTATGACTTGATATAATAACCACACTGTACACACCCATAATAGGCTGCCAGATATTAAAGCAGCGCCTTAAGTAGAGTAAATTGGAACAAATCAAATGAACCTTTCATAACCAGGTCATTAAAACAACCATGTTTTCTCTTACATGAATTGGGAAATATTCATTTGAAAAGCCAGAAGCATCGTCTACCAAGCAACAGAATTTTTTTAAACGACCGAATTCTAACTGAGTTTGGCTATCTATAAAATGAATTAGTTGTGTTCTTTTATATGGTTAATAGTAACAAGATATTTTATTGACACTTTTGACAGAAGTTAAAATTTCTGAAGGTGGTTTTCAGATACTTGCCATTCCATTCCAAAAGTATAAAATCCCTGTTACTCCAATTACTTGATCCTTTTTCTATAATGTACTTCTTTATTGTATTATCCTGCTATCCTGCTTGTATTCATTTTCGGTGGTACTGTGAAGTGCAAAATTCTGAATTGGCACACTTTTATGTGAATTTCTGCATTGTTTTATCATTGATGAATGTAACTACTTATCTATCTTAAGCTGATAGCTCAAATTATATTCAGAATACTCATCTAAAAAGAAGATAAGAAAAAAAAAGAAACTTAATGAAACAAATTATTTCTATGATTCTGTCCTTCAAGTTGAGTAACCGGGTTTATATTCAAAAAAAAGGATCATTTTATTTCGGACGAAGTGGTAACTTTATTGAAAAATAATTGAATTTGATGAAAACTAAGAATGAAATAGTACTGCAGTTGAAAATGAGTAGGAACAAACTAAGTAACGCAAGAATATTTGAAACTTATGTCTACAAATTACGCTACCTTGTTACTACATGTTTGAGAAAAGCTTACGTTACAAAATACTGCCAACTACTTACAGCAATCCAAGTATTTTTAAAAATTCTCTTTAGTTATTGCAAGTACTAACTAACATCAATGTTGTTATCATAGTCACCTTGGACTATGCAGTGTAATTGAAACTCTCGACACCTTCAATCAAACCCTATAACGTTGCGCAATCGTTTAATTCTTCTTGATTCTTTTCAAATCTAAATGAGTTTAACCTGATTGAATAAAGTGGATTTAATGTAGCCTTCTTGATGGATCTCTGTCATTTGAAAATGTCTTACCTTTTCCGGTTAAGGATTCTGTAGCAGTGCACACCTACTACACCACAGGAGATGGGGCTGTGAAGTAATAGGTTTCTGCGTGAGCATCTCATCAACTGATGGCAATCCATGATGAAAACGATCTTGAAATCGATCGATAGTTTTAAAATGCCGTTCGGTATAGTTCCTAGTACTCATTAATAACATGTCTAGATACAGATTCTCAAACTTTTCATGAAAGCCATAACATATGCGGTCAACCAGGTTTGAAGTGAAAACAGTTGCTCACCGGTGACATTGGATAGTGAAGAGCAAAACAACAGTAGCCTTTAGATTCCAATATGTGGATTGAATGGCAACATACTAGTCATGAGAACTAATAATCATCGGCTGTATAACTTGTGAGATGGGGGAGGGGGGGTGCATTATACTCAGGAGTTTTGAGCTCAGACTAAACTATTCTCATATAAATTTCAATCTGTGTTGAAACCTGCTTTTAACTCAGTCATTTTGTACAAACTATCAATTAAGGTTAATTCAGCAGAAAGCTGTTTTCACCATTTTCTGTAATCGAAATACTAAAAGGGCGTTTCTGTGACAAAAGAGATCATAAGCGTGTTTTTTTCAAAAAACCTTCTCTGCTAATGGATAGAGATTCAGTTTTTGTTCGTTTTGTGTTTGTTAAGTGGGAATGGATAAGCTCTCTGCATAGCGTTTAGACTGACTGTCTTTCTTTCAACATAACTGCTCATAGACTGATTGTGATATATATTTTCATTCCTAAAAATAGCTTCTTAACTTTCAGGATTAATTCATCCATCTTTACCATAAAGAAGTCGTGTTATTACTTTGATATGAAAATGAACAATAACTTCTGCTCCAAATGTCATTCAGCATATAATACTGTATCACTGTGGGCTATATCAAATTAACAATGCAATATGAAAAAAGGAATTGCTGAAAATCGTATCAGTGGTTGTAGAAAACAACAAAGCTCAGATACCTTTGTGCCATTGCTGTTGGTTCTGTAACGAATCCACCGTTCAAGTTTGCAAACCGTATATCTAGGGCATTTTCTGCCCAATCATCAGAGGACTGATATATCTTAGCCCTTGTGTTTTTTCAAACACCTAGAGATCACTATGAGCATTAAATTGTGTGTCGGAAATGAATGTTCTTGAGTTTATTCATATTGGTATATAGAAAAACATTTAATGAGTCTTGATCCTAAAGTTACCGTGGAGAAAAATGATTTTATTCTGATTTCTGTAGACTGAGGGTGAATGACTTTAAAGGTAAACCAAATAACGGTGAAAATAACTAATCATTTATGAAGAAAACTACATTTACAGCTGAAATAACAAAACTTGACTGGTTATTTAAGCAGTTTCTAGACTAACCTCTAGAGCTACTACTAGTGATTAACTAAATTGTTCAATTACAACCACGCGTTCTTGATTCCATTGTTAACCATCGTTAAAGCAGTTTACAACATAACCAATAATCAAGCAGTGTCAAGGCATCTACATCGGAGAGTGAATGCCGACAGAGGTAGACCAATTCAATCTAGAATAACAACAGGAAATTACAGGTGTCAATAAATAATAATAACTGATTTCCGTTGCACAAGAGATTATCTTGCTCCAGTGGCCTAGTGATTAGCGCACTGGCATTTGCAGCGATGGGCACTGGGTTCAACTATTGGTGGGAGTAATATCGCTCACTAGAGTAGAGGAATATCCAACTGACGATTCCCAAACAGAACGGAACACATATCCTAGGTTCTACTGCTAGCCAACATCAAGCGAATTCCAACAAATTATACAATGGTAATTCATTTATATTATAGCTTAAGTAAAACAACCTATCACCTTTATGAAATAAAATTTACGAGGAATAAACTTCAATCGTTTCCAGGTTTACATCACTTCGAGTAACTTGTATCATTTCTTGATGAAAATGAACACAAGCAGATTGACACTCGAGGCAAGAAAATTGAACTGAAGCATACAAACATTAAAAATCTACTAAAAGAATCACACTTTCCTCTGATATGAGGTGTTGAAAACGTTTTGGAAAGAAGTCTATAAGATACTTTTCATTTGACTAAGTTACTTCTTAGATATATGCAGATATTAAAAAGTGGATTTAAATAATTCAAAGAAACAACTTTTTGTCCAAGTAATATTGAATCACTTCACTGTTTAGCATTATCATTCAGAAATTGTATATGATTAAATTACTGAAGTTTTCTCGAGTTTTTTTTAGTTTGTATAAATAAAATTTTATCAATAGTTATTTTTGATTTCTATCCTTTCGATTTCAGTTGGATGTGTATTTATTACTGTGACTTCGGATAACGTAGTCAAATTCGATCAGTCAATTGTCCTACTTGATTTGGAAGGTCACTGGGTGCATTTGTCAAAGGGATATTAATATCTAGCACAATGCCACCAAAAAAGAAAGGGAAAGCTAGCAAACTATCGAAAATGTCAGATGAAGAAAGAGCTATTTATATTGAACAACAAAGAGTTGTTGAAGAGGAAGCAAAAATGAAGAAGATGACACTGTTAACTCTATACTTACAAGTCAGTTTGCCTACCTGTCCTTATCTACCTTACTTGATAAAATAAATGAATTTGTACAGGACAAGCTTGATCATGAAGAGAAAGCGACTAAAATCAATAGAGCTAAATTGATACACTACTGGAGAACTATCATGCGTGAAACGAAATCTAAGGAATTGAAAAGGGATGCAGAGATTCTATCACAAACTTTTGAAAGCGTTGTGGACCGGTATGCATACTCATGTTCAACGTTTAATTAATATTTTAAGGAAAGAAAGTATCATCAAAACCCTTGTTTCAGATATCAACGAGGCAGAGGAGCAACATCTTATGGCTTTACGATCTCATTTACAAAATGTTGATACTTTGATAGGCAAGTCTTTCCTTACTAAATCAGAAATCGATTTGTTGAGTGATTGGTTACTATATTTTCAACGTTATTTCATCAAAAAGCCTTATGTCACGGTGTTTTAATGTATTCACACTTGTTAGCTTGAGTTCAAGTCAGTAACTATTGTCAAAATTAAGAAAGAGAAAAAATTCTCTTTTTGATGAATTATTTCCAAAAGCTGTACAATCACATTCATAGTTACAATATATATATATATATATATATATATATATATATATATATATATATATATATATATATATATATATATATATACAACCATCAATAGCTAATGGGTCAGTATAAATTCACATAGTGATACTGCCTAGAAGGTCAACTCAAGGTCATCCGAAGTGCTTATACGATCACAATAAACTATCTTAGGGAGGTTACGACCAAAGTGAATTTAGAGATTGGATGTATGTTTTGAATGCGAAGATTAGGTCTGTACCTTTGTATTCCCGAAGCTCTGATATGTCGAGGTGGAGGACACCTACTCCCTTCAAAACGTTTGGTCTCACTTTATAAATGATGGATATATATCTTGTTGTAACTATGATTCTGATTGTATAGATGTTGAAAACGATTCGTCGAAAAGAAAGCCTTCTTCACTGGGTTGTCTTCTGTTAATGTTACATTATCTAATGGGACTGTTATCAAAATTATTTTACAAAACAGTTTAATTCTCTGAATTCACTGTTCTACTTATGTTATTTCTGTAGATTAACTAGATTTCGTATTTCATACTTCACATGAGTGAGCATATTCTTATCTAATGAAGATTATCATGAAATATGAGGTTGTGACTTATGCAGCAGGTGACTTTTCAACCACTTCAGTCAAGAATAGAGAAGGATGTATCGGTCACTGAGGCATATATATTATGTTTTAGCAGCTGGCTGATGAACCACATCTAGTCGTGACAGATTTTCTTCACTATTAAACTTATATTATCATCATTTCAGCTAGTTTGACTGTTTAGGTCTGGCTGTCCAAGTCGAATGTGTTAATGTGATAAGCTAGGCTACAGTTGAATGAAGCAGCTACATAAAGTTTGTTCGTTCTTATGCGTTCAGTAAAATTCACTACTGATCACTTCATTTGGCCTCATGTTGCCGAATTTGTCCACTGGTACATTCCTTTAATCCACTATAAAACTTATTTTATTAGTCGGGCTAACTGAGGAAAATTCACGAGACACGGTATATTCAACTACCAAATCTCACTTTCCAGTAGAATCCACCCAGATAGTTGATGAAATTTTCCGTTTTTCAAAAACTTGAATGTAAGTCGTTCATCCTTGAAAGTGTAGGCAGTATCAGTTAGATGGTTACGAAGGAAATAAAACCTATCTACATCCTTACCTTTATTTCTGAGTCTATTTTCTTGATTTATGTCATTCTATGGTGCATTTCAGAGGCATATTTCACATCAAGGGTAAATTTATCTGAATTAACTATAAACTATGCATGAGATATCATATTATGAACTTCTGATTCTGAAAAATTAATTGAATGAATTTAAACCTGTCAAAAAACGCTTAGAAAATAACTAATACTACTGAACTATGTTTGAGTAGTTAAATTCGTTCTTCAAACTTTCAGATTTACCATTTTTGAGATAGTACATCTCTGGAATCGTTGTAAATTTTTAGTTACAACAAGAAATAGTTAACGTAAGAATAGTATACTGCCACATAAATAAATTCAGCTTTGTCAAGAAATAACATAAATCACAGTAAAATTGTTGTTGTTTTGTTCTCTGTTTTGGATGATTCAGCCATTGGACAAACTTAGGACAAGTCACCAAGTTACTTGAAGAGAAACACTCAAAGTTCACTTTTTTATGTAATTTATGCCAACAGTGTTGTCTTAAATGATGATAAAAGCTTTTCGCCTAAATTATAAAGCTCAGAAAACGCAATGAAACGAGATTCGTTTTCTGGAGCGACACATGTTTTTCACTGTAACAACGGAAGAGAATTTCATTTAAAAAAACAAGTAGGTAATTTTTGACCAATTTTAAACACTTGAGGTTCTTAGGTAAGGGTATGAACTGAGATATAAAGTCCTCTTCCTCATATTATTAAAGATCTCTTAGATCAAAGGAAACGGTTGTATGATGTAGGATTGATTAATAAAAGCATGCATCTTGACCACATAGAAATATAACGGTGACTTATGAATTGCTTAACATTCAATGAGAAATGGTTACGTAAATGTAGATGGGCAAAAAGCGTTCCTCAGGACAGTAGCAGTCCAGCTGAGTTGTCAGCTGCATAGTCATGAATCATTTTCAGTTGATCGGTTTCAATCGATGGTTATTCAGTTCTCCTGGTGTGTAACTACTCTAGTTTTCCAGTTTTCCCATTGTTTTGTCCTTAGCGTGAGAATTAGACTTGCATATCGCAATGATTCAACGAGCTATGCTGATTGAAAAGCTTATTCATTCAGTTCTTATCATGTTATGTAGGTCTGTTGGGCAGGGGTGAGATAATAAATAGTTACCATTGTGATGTAAGTAGCCACACTATGATGGGAGTCCAAGTATGAGGTTGTACTGCTGACTGTACAGGGTTCCACAGCAGTAAGGAGGGTCCAATGATTGATTAGCTGTACTATAATTGTCCTGCCTTCTTTGAGCGAAACGGGGTTAAAAAAGTAAACATTCATAACAGCACACTTCTCCTTGCCCTAAAATATTCTGGTGCCGGCGATATTGACTTCTTCTTGTCCGGTGTTAGTTAAACTAAATCTTATTTCAACACTTAAAACCGTGCGTGACCAACCTCAGGTTCCATGGGGTCCGCGTTCATGTAAAAGTAATGGCTTCTCGTTTTCACACACCTTGGAGAAAAAACTTCATGATGAGAGCATCCAGGAAGTATCAACCATCTACATGCTTCCAGAAGTATAACAAAACCAAAATAACCTGTAGTTTACCTTCTTTACTTTTTTCTTCCCTTTCCCTCTCAGTTTATGATACCAGTATTAGGACCCTTGAAACTTCTTAAAATCTTCCACCTTGTGACCATTGCTGATGATTCAAGCCAGCAGAACACCATTCTGAAAACCCTGTTTTCCCTTTCACGCTGGAGCTTTCAGCATCCAAATCGTATTTGAAATTGGACAGCAAACATCACTTGCTAGAAGACTAAAATCTCAAGCCGTGTATGTATGGTGTGTTTCTGGGATATACATGCAGAACGAAACTGGTTTTTACCTGATCAATATGGTGAATCTGCAAAACTCGCTCTACGATCGTTCGAAGATTCAGTTGCTATTTCCCAGGGAATCGATAGTGTAGGGATTGCATAAAGCTACAAAGCAGAAAACAAGCCTCATGACTTGGCACCAATCAACAGTCGTTTGCGTGCCATCCTACTGAATGGGTCTATGGGACCTGGCAAGGCTTGTGATACTCAGAAATGCCTAATCGTACTCTTCGTCTGTACGTGGACAAAGTGTAGTTCGGATGATACAAAGGATGAATTTTATCAAAATCTGTCAATTTTGCTACTTAGGAAAGAACATTCAGACATAGTCATACCAGTAGGCAACTTCAACGCTGAAGTAGGAGCACTGAACTACTAAGAAAGTTCTCATAGAGGTATCTAGGTTATTCCACCTAAATAAACCAACAACGGTGATCGTCTGTTGCAATTTCGTTCTGATTGTCACTTGTTTCTGATCAGAACTAATTTCAAAAGTTAGGAGAGACACTGTTTCACTTAGCTTGCCTCGACATCAAACTGACAGTGGACGCAGTGAGGACATATTGTTATAATTGATCGTTGGAGGATTACCAATCTTTCTGAAGAGCCTGCTTACGTATCTGTTCATGCCTTACCGGTTTCAGGAAACAGAGAGCAGTAAACACTCTTTGTGATCGACCAGTAGTCAAGAATTTCAACTGTGCATTTGGGTTGTTGGAGATAACTGAGATTAATCTAGGCATTGCAACAATTTTCTTCATTCTGAAGCCTGGTATTATGTTCGGTTTCCCAGTGGGTTTCCACAATACCATTTGAACTTATTATTGCGAGAAGACTAATTCGAACTGGGTCTGATCACAACGAGGAGCAAAGGTAGGGAAGACGTAAATCGATTATAAGTTTCTGCAATGATCCCAATTAGTGGTGAGCATAAAAGCGAGCGAACTAGAGAGGACATCAGCACTCTTCTGTACTCGGCAGTTATTTCGGCTTGTTTAGGATACCAATAATAATATGATAGTTAGAGAAACCATCAGCAAGAAGGTGAGAGCCATGACAGCCACTCAGCAAACTCAGCTAAGTCATTCAAATTTGTAGAGTAGTTCATGTAGCCTACAACAACGCGTCAGCTGCCTCCAAATTTCCTCGAAGCTGAGAAGGCTGCTTCAGGCCCGAAATGATGCAAAGCAGTAAGGAATGCTTGTTTGAAAACGGAGTTTTAAGGAAGATGGTATAGGAGTACTGAGTAGAATAACGATGGTACTGTGTAGCATATCGAAATCATAGGTAGCTCCTTCACTCCCATGTGGATCACCTATCATTCTAGTTTGTTAAAATGGAGAAATCTTTTCTTGCGATCACTTTAACAAATATCGTGTCCCAGATCCAAGCGTCCATGGTAATGCAATGCCTAATCGATGCTCATAAACAGAAAACTTAGGAAAACCAGGCAGGTTTCCAAACTGGACTAGGTTGCGTCGATTAAATCTTCACCCTTGATCAGATTATGGAACATAGGTATATTTACCAGTGATCGATAACACCTGGCATATTTCTTGACTTGAAGGTGATATTCAACTCTGTTGACCGAGAGGTGTTTTGACTGTGAATGGAATACCGACCAGCTATGTAACACCGAATAAAGCTCTCTACTCAAACATATGTAGCCGTGTATGATCTAGTGAGAAAATTTCATCTAAAGTATGGACAAGCAGTGGTATCTGCCAGAGATATCCGGTGTTACTATTCCTGTTTAACATGGTTACACATGTATTAATGGACATAAGTTTAGGCACCTCCATGTAGGACTTCTTGTTTACTTGAAGTATACAGACAGTACACTGACAAAGTGCTGAATCTTTTAATAGCTTTGAGCAGAAATCTGCATATGTTTAGCATGCTTTTTACACCTGTTAAATGGAAAATGATGCTTCAGGACTTGTCTGCAGCTACTTCCAGTTTAATGATAGGAGGTGTGTTGTGGTAGAATGGGTTGACCATAACACTTACTTGTGGAATTGCATCAACTCAAATGGTCTGGCTACTGAAAAATCTCAGAACATATCCAAAATCCCAGCTGGCATTTTTCAATGTACATCATTCCTAGTGTTAGAAAGATACCTGACTGGATGTTAGAAGATGGGCGTAGTGCGTTACCGTCAGCTGTGTCTTGATGTGTGTTTGTGAGACATGATTGTTGAACGCAGAAGACGTGAGAAGACTATCCTCCCATACAATGTCAGCCGTTCTAGGGTTGGTTTGGATGAAGACCCAGGGTGGCTTGACCAAAACCATTGGTATGCGTCATGTATAGCCTGCCTGATTGGGTTTTTTGGGATAATAGGAATTGATGGTTGAAGATCCTTTGTGACATAGCTGAAAATTGGTCACAATGAAGCAGATGTATTCAATCTATGACGTCCTATGAAATATGAACATTTTCACTAAACCTATCTCTTCAGATTCATTCTTCTTCCACACATTTTTGTCCGATTTGAAATCAACCTTTTCTTACCGATCTGTTATTTGGATGCTTCAGTGGAGTGTGTCATCTCGAATCGATTCCCTTTGTCCGAGGGTTTGCATTGGTTTTATCTGTTTTCATGGAATACCTGATTCGTTTGAATAAACTAAAGACTCCGTAAAAAACACACACCAACAGCTATAAAACTGATGGTTTTTCATCGTATACTTTTGTAAGGACTCATATTCCATCCAGTTATATGCTTTTGACAAGTATCGTAACTGTATAAAGTTATTTATTGAGAAATCATTATTAGGTGTGTTAATTCAGTTTGACGCTGAGGGAATTTTAAGATGATGGGGAATATTTTTAGCTTAGAAGGAGGAATTTAGTGATGTTGTGTTGTATGAGCTGGCTGGTTTAATCATGAAGCTTTAATTATCTTTCTAGAAAATATCATCAGTACAAACTTCAAAAAAAAGTGACTAAGTAACCAGAATCTATGAAAGCTGAAAGATTCCATTGTTGAAGTGAAATTTCTCCCTATTTTCATGTTAAGGTGGAGATGACTGTAAGCATTACTTTTGTGTAAGTGGTTAATATCAGCAAAACTTTTCAGTCATTTAGTTGTTGTTGTTTTTTTTACCTTTTTCTTTCTATTATCACTTCAGACTTACAAAATCAACGATTACATAAATTGAAAACTGATTATCAGACAGAAATAAAGTATTTAGTAGAAGAATTTGAAAAAGGTTAGTTAGTGTGAATGTATATACTTGAATTGATTTCAATCACTTTTATAGAAGAGAGTTTTATTACTCAACGACATGAGAAACAAATAAACGATTTGAAGAATATATTTGTTGCATTGGATTCCACATATACAGCTAAGATAAATGAAGCTATCATTGATCAGAATAGTTTGAAAGATGATATAAAAAATAAGGTGAGTATGTTTCTTATAGTTTTATTCTCCCCTACTTTCCTTTAAGATATGTTAAACATTCTAATCAACTAAGATTACTTTCAACTGATTGAAAATATTGATATTGATGATTACTGATATTTACTATTCATTATCAGTTTGACTAGTATGAGGTAGTTGCGATTTTGGTAGATATGTATTGATACTAGGGAATGATTGAAGATGAAATGTAAATCTAAGTGGTGGCGAGATTCGAATCAATCTGGTTTCCGGTTTTAATTTATTTGAAAAAGCTCAGAATGAGAATCAGTTGTACATTAAAGCAGAGGAATAAACAGCAGATATATAATAGGTAATACACTCAACGTTTTAAGATAGATGAACATTGTGTGGCATAAACTTCGTACTGTATCATTCGTTATCCAACAAAAACATAGGTTTCCTGTTATTAGTCAAAGTCTTCCTGATATCTAGATTATATCGTTTTGAATTCTGTTTACGTGTTACGCTTGAGATAGGCGTTGGACATCCTAGTCACACCTACGGTGATTTAGTTTCCCTCACCGAAAACCCTAGATTTAAACTCAACACTTATCTATTAGTGATCTCATATAGCTCCCAAGAAATAAAAGATACTATTGTAATTTGCTTGGTAGTGGCTAACAATGGGATCCAGGACGCGCGTTTCTTCCTCTTTGAGACTCGTCAGCTGGATGTATCTTCAACCCAGAATAACAACAGGAAACTATAAGCATCAATAAATAGTGATAACCGATACCCATTGCATAAAATACTCCTTTGGTGTCCCCATGTACTACGATTTCTCATTTGGAATGATGAGTATGGAGTTCAAATCTCATAGGTTGTTGAAAAGTCGTGAGAGGGTTGAAATGTTCATCCACGGGTGGTCAACACAAAACAAAATCAGCATAGTCATTGGTCATGCAATATATGGGCCAATAGAAGTTGGTCAGGTCACTCTAGTAAAACAACGGTAAATCTCAAAGTTGTTATCTTTCAAAGTTTTATATGAGAGAGAACTATTGTTCCGGAAGGAAATTCGTCTTTTTAATGAGGATTCGTATTTCTGTTTGACACTACCAGCTATATACAAATGTGAAAGTCATTCGTAAATTTCTGAATTTAGTTTACCAAGGTTGATGTGACTGCGAAGCTTAGTGAACGATTCAATTTCATCATAATTTTTCACGTTTTCACCCAAATTTTTAATGGACTGAATTTTGTTTTGCTAGTAATGTCAGGTGACACAGGTTCGAACCTCAAAGAATGCATTGGTTGCCTCGAGGTAGAGGACAAGCTTTACTGACGAGTACCAATGAGCTTAAAAACCTAAAACATGCAGGGCTTCCTGATGATCGCCTCCAACTAACTAAAGTTCATCTTCCTTCTGTACTTGTGATTGGTCGATAGTAATTTCAGAACATAGTGCTGCACACCTCTCTGACAACTCTTGGGGCCTATTTCCAACCTAATTATGTTTCATTAACTAGTGTCTTACCTCGAGGAGGGCTGTTTAATCGGCATATTTAATCCATATCCTTGAAATTTCCCTAGGTATAAACTAAAGATGACATCGAATAGTTGACCTTTCTCGGATAAATTGTTATGACTATCTACAAAAGTACATACATTAACATCTGCCACTTACGCCCACTCGATACTCAAGATCAGATGGCCAGAATAATAAGAATAAGCAACAAGAAACTCTGGCTGGCAACGAACCAACGAAGCAATAGCCTATCACCCAACAAATATGCAGAAGGAAGTGGAGATGGTTTGGGCATACACTGAGAAGACCGTTCGGGGACATCACGCTCCAGGTCATCGAGTGGGACCTAAAGGGAGAACGATGAGTTGGGCGCCTGGGACGAGACGACATGGAGGAGATCACGTGAGGAAGAAATAAAAGCTTGTGGACAGTCGTGGAGCTAGATTCAAAAGACTTCAGAGAACAGAGTGAAATGGAGACGTGCTACTTAAGTCCTATGCTCCACCAGGAACCCAAGGGAAAAATAACAATATATGTAATAACTCTTCACTCTGTTATTTCGACTTTTCAGTGGAGCATCTCTATGAAACAGTATTTGATTGCCTTTTAGCTCCAACCCCTCATACCATGTAGCATCCTAAGTCTACATAGGTTGATAGTTCGAGGAAAAGATGAGAATTATTCTAATAAGAAATGAATTTCACATTTTATTTGTTTAGTTGACAAAGCACATAGTGATACTCAATGACTTGCTAAATAATGTGTTGGGAGTATTTCATAGCTTATAATATGTAATTGTTAAATCATATCCCCTAGTTCTAAAATGACATCCTTCGAAAAGTTTGCTTTTCACTTTGTACTACTTATAATAAACAAAAGTAGTTAATAAATACGATCAATTATTTTATGCATTTGTTTGTTTCCACATAGAGTTTAGAGGATAAACATACATTGAGGATAAATTTAGAAGCAAAAGTCAATGCTTTATGGTCTGATTTCAAGCAAGCTTCAGCACAATACACAACGAGCACGAACGAAAAGAAGTCATTTTTTGAAAATCTAAAAGTAAAAGATGAACGTTCTGCCACTGAAATTCAACTACATTTTAACAAAATACAAAAAATCAATGATAATATAACTTTAACTAAACGTCGTATGACAAAAGTCGCTAAAGAATATGAAGAGAAAAATAGTAAATTGAAAGAGGAACGTGACAAATTAATTTTGCAATTCCAAATGTTGAAGATACAAATCAATAAATCACGTGAAATACAACATGAAAAATTGATTAAAATGTCACTTGAAAGTGGGCAAGCCATACGAAAGGTAAGCTTTAAAAGCATCTTTTATGGAAGTATCAGATAGCCACTAGAGAGCGGATAATTTTGTGTCTCACCCTTTAAGTTTAGTAGAGACCGACTTCAAGTTATGTGCTTCATAGTTAGACTTATCAGAAAAATGCTAGAATCGTTTTGTGAGGTTGCAGTATACAGCTGTTTACTGTTGTCTTTCTGCTCTTTCCAGGAAATCATGGTGTTAGGATCTTTGCCAAATGTGTGATGCTGAGAAAAGTTGGATGAGTTGGTAGAAAGTTTCTTTATGGCGAGACTAAGATGCCACACCAGTTCATGACTATCTGTCTAAGCCGTGTAGGGAGATGTAGACTACATAGGTGGGGTCGCCGAGACTATAGGCATCAGTGGTTAAGAACTCTTGGTTAAATGGCTGAAATTCGGTCACAGTGGTGAAGATGTTTTCATTCTTTCTTTTCTTCGAAAGTATGAGTGCTTTGAATAAGCCTCCATACACCTTAGTCTACCCTGATATCAGGCTTTCCTGTCCACTTGTTCTTCGTGTACACTATCATGAAGTAATGCAACTTCGACCGATGCATTTGTGTGCCAGGTTCTATGCTGATTTTGTCTATCTGTCATATTAAAAATTACGTAAACTCCCATTTTGTTTTAAAATGAAGACTACAATATGGTATTGACTACTGTTTGGCAGATAGTTCTTGTCTTTATATCAACTAAACAGAGATTTATTTACAGTTGAACTGTTGCATTAGAGTTCAACGAATGATGCAAATTGCAAAACTTAAAAGAATTATCAGTTTCGCTAAGGTCTAAAAGGTGTCTCTGAAGTGACAGTCAGTAAAAGAGTTCTTAGCTTTGTATATTTTCTCATTTCTTTTATACAAAAACAGGTTCAATATTTACTAGATAAAGCTGAGAAAATTATCAAGTTAGGCGAACAGTGTAGGAAATATGAAACGGAAGAAGAAAAGGTTGTGCCGTTCTACGCATCCTGCTTAACCGTGGAAGAAGAGAAGGCTGTTCAAGATTTATATGAAAAGGAGGAAGATGAAGAGATTTCAAAGGTAATCTCCTAATATGCGAAGTGCTTTTCGGGTTTTACGGAAAAAACTCGTTTCTGACTACTCCTTTTCTGGAATAAAATTTTGATGATTGGAAATTGAAGAAATCCAACACTTGAGTATAGAGTGGTTCACTAAGTCGAGATAGGTGTTAATAAATTGGCCCATATCAGTGTGTGTGTGTGTGTTCGTTGTATTAGTTCACTTGCTCTTATGGAGCCGAGTACATAGAACGTACCATACACTTGCTTGTGAAATACGCTAGGGAACACTATCCAACTAGAATGACGAAGAGAGAAGGGAAACCCATCTTCAGCTCTGTAACAGAACACTTGGTAAACTAAAGACATTTTGCTTATTATGTGATAAGTCCATCAAAATCTTGTACTAAGCAAGACTGAGCAGCTAGAAGGACATGGCTGAAGGACATAGGTATTGAAAGCAAAAGACATGAAACAATTACAGGTTTTTGATTATAGGTGTCCTTATAGAGTTGCTTAAGTTTGGTGGGATTACCGTGCGAGTAATTTTGTGGTCTGGAACCACTTAACTTCATAAGGAATTGCATCAGCTAAAACAGAGTGATGGTTACTGAAAAATCCCAGCTCAGATATAGAAGGCCCGTTTTGCATTTGCCAGCTTGAATCACCTCTTGCACGAGCCGGGGAAATAATCGACTCTTTATCAGAGGACAAGTTTACCGCGTTGCAATCCGTTTCATCCTGTTGTGCGGCTGTGAGACATGGGTACTGAAAGTAAAAGATATTAAACGGTTACAGGGTTAGGATCATAGGTGACCTCGTGGAATCGTTCTCGTTAGGTGGAATTACCGTGTAAGCAGTGTTATGGTCAGGTGAAGTGTAACGTACAAGACAGGCAAGTCTATGAACCTTGGTTGAATGAGATGGTTTGGACATGTACTGTGCATGCCGAGACATCACCTACATCGACGTGCCATGTTAGGGAAAGTTGGATTAGTTTGGGAGCAGTTTTTGGGTTGGATAGACCAAGACATGGCACCAGTCGATGAAGTTAGTGACTGTTCGTCTCAGCCATGTGAGAAGATGTAGACTGCCTGAGTGGAGTATCCGAGATGATAGGAATCAGTGATTGAGGACATGGTATGTTGTGACATGGCTGGAAATCTGTCACAATGGTGTAGATATATTCACTCGTTGACGTTTTCTAAAGCTTGAGTATTCGTAGTAGCCATTATCTCAGATTGTTTATTCTATCAACCAGCTTAGTCTACTTTGATACCGCTATTTTTCTATCCATGTATTTTTTGTGTACTATTATGAAGTGTGGCAAATTCAGGCGATGCACAAGTGTGCGAGATTCTACGATGATAAAGATTTCAACAAACAAAGTAATTTGGCGGTAGTGGAACTAGGCTTAGAAAGGCAAATGGTAACCGTAATACATTAGGTTAATGACAGCTAGTGCAGGCCATGTAGAGGGAAGTTAAAGATTTCGTAGCAAGAACTCTTCAGCTGTAAATGAATACACTAGTTAGAAACACTTGATGATACACATGTATATACATTTTCCCTTCCTCAAAATCTTGAATATATTACTCAAAGTTTTCCCAACCCACCCCTCAATTTTATTTCCTGGTATTAACCTATGATACTCACAAGCTGAATTTAGACTTTAACTGCAAAACCCTCCTAGTATGATTTCTTCGACCTCTTCCTGGTCATCGCTTTTCGAACAAATCATATATAAGGCAGTATCCATCCTGAACTGACATCAGTTGCATAATCTTTTAAAACCTGGAAGCAATGGACATTTGTCTCGTCCTATTTTGAAGCTCCTCAGCAGCACTAACCCTCGACCTCACCAGGGGTCAAACTCAGGGCGTTTAGGTCACATGGTGAATACGTCAGCCATCCAATCACAGGGTCAGAGATGAATGTTTCACAGTTTGATACTTGTTTCAGTTCACGGTATAGTACGACTATCTACCAAAGAGCTTCAGTAGGTATCTGTTCCAATTCCCACTGATTGACCTCGAAGGTCACATACTAGGATGAGACAGCTGTCCAGTACACACAGGCTGTCAATGGTTCTTCAAATGATGGATATCACCTTCAAGAAAAACAGAACCCTCATAAACTATAAAATACATCACACATAACTTTTGTGATTCGATCATTCTGATTTGCTTAGTGTGAGATGAAGTCAATCTGCGAGAATTGCATCCCACTACTGTTTTTGCTACAACGCCGTTGTTCATTTATAAAAATGAAACTTTACTCATTCATCAACTGTTATTATATCAGTTGATAAACTAGGAAATTAGCTAAACAAAACGCCCAAATAGTAATACCAACAAAGACAGCTCATTTCGGTGCGATCGACAACGGGATAATATAAGTAACGACATATAAATAACACCCACCCCACAAAAAGTGGCTATCATGACACTGTGGCCTAGTGGATAGTGCTGTGGCGTTAGAAGTAATCATTTCCGGGTTCTAGTCTGGGTGGGGACCACGTTGTTCATTGGAATGCAGGTATATCTAGCTGATGAGTTCCGAATAGGACGAAACACACGTCCCGGATTCCACTCTTAGCAAACATCTATCAGTCATACAAAACTGAAACACAGGCAATATTGAGGCATCCGTGTAGGAGCCCAAATGCCAATAGAGACCACTCATTTCGGTACAGTCGACAACGTGATAATGCAAGTACCCAAATGAAATGTCGAAAAAGTAATTAACTTGAAAATAAGTGAAATTGAATACACTGTTTATTATTTATTGTTTTATTAAAATTTTAGATATTAAAACGATGTATTCCATTGGAAATGTTTTGGAGAAGATTTAATAAAGTTCAGTTGGATCGATTAGCAATAGCTAAAGAACACAATATGTTGGAACAAGAAAATCTTCAATTAAAATTGTTATTGAAACAATATTTAGATGGTATATCAATAAATAATGAAGTTGTAACTGGTGATAATCCATTAATTGTTATAAATGGACGATCAAGCTTGAGGTAAGTCGTGGGCGAGACTGGGTATTAACTGGATGGATGTTTGCATTTCACAAAGCATCAGTATACTTATGCATAAGTGGTAGTTTAGAACAAAAAAGCTTCAGTCAGCTGTTACATGTCAGTTTGTACTAATAATCAGCACAAAAGTGGAGTAGGGACCAATGGGTAGAATAAACCATTCAGTCTGTTTCAAAGAATCCACCCATTTTATAATTACCTACTTTCTGACTTATTCTTAGTACAAATAGGAAAGAGTCATTTGGCATTTGCCGAAAAGTGCCTTGATTCCGGAGACTGCCTATGAAGTTATGATGGTATTGTGAGGCGGTTCAATTTATATTACTTTACACCAGCGAAAAATGGTCGTGAAAAGTGGAAGATGTGATAATCTTTACCTGTGATGGAACCACAGAGAATAATCGCAGAGTTTGAGACGAAGAGAGCAAGTGAGATAATGAAGTTATGAGCTTTTGGTGAATGAGATGGCTTGAGGATATGATATATGCGCATTTTATCCTTATTCCCTTTTCTGTTAATTTCATTCTTCTTTGCAAAAAGATTTTCTTCCGATTGTCTCCAGTTACCCCACTGTGGCGTATCGGTTAGCCTATGTACAAGAAAGCATATGCCTACCATTATAATTATATGAATATTAAAAATAAGAATTTTGCTTGGTTTACTAATTCGATTTTAGAAGATATGCAGCCTAGAGAAAAGATGACAGTGGTTTAGTTTTTTCTGACTTCTGTTGCTGTATCGTTAAGGTTTCATTGTAAAGCTAGGTGACACCATCAACATTAGCTTCATGAAGAATTTACGGTTTTTCTACACATTGTGATTAATTGGGTAAAGCCTCATGAGCCTAGAGGATAACCCTCTAGGGTGCAGTGCGTCCAGCTGACGAGTCTCAAATAGGAGGAAACGTGCACTCTGCATCCCAATGCTAGACACCACAAAGTAGATCACAAGTTAAAAAGAATATTGTCTACTTAATGTTATCATCACTACTACTCTTATTATGTGTTTCTTTTTCCTTTTTACAAGTCATTTAACAATGGGAAGCGATCCACGAATCAAAATGATACCTTCTGATGACAATAACAGAAATAATGTTAATATTTCAAAGAAGATTATAAACTATGCTAATACGTCAACTGCAGAGGATTATAAAGTGAGGCAGACAACTTTGGCAGGAATAACTTGAACTAATTTTCTAGGATTTCATACCTGTAAATTAAATCATAATTCACGTTTAGACGATTTCATTGTGAAGTCAGTGTACTGGAAAGATAAAAAAATTATCATACGCCGAAAATGTTGTAGATATTTGTTTTACGGGAAATAATGAATTTAACAAAACAATAAGCAAAGATTTTGTAGAAATATTAGTACATTATAGATGAAGAAACCTCGCCTGATTAACTAGTTCACTAGTTACTAGCAGGTCCTAAGCCCGGGTAAAGAGGAAAGGTTGGACATACGGCTAGCAACCCTACCCTGGAAAACCAATGCAATCTCTAAAGAAACTTCAATGCACAAACAAAATATAAAAAATAAAAACAATATTATTCCTAGCTGGAATTGGAGAGGTGAAATGACACCAGTTGGTGAAAGCCTTCAGGAAGCCAATTGGCCGATGTGTCCCCTCTCTCGATGAAAGCGAAAGTAAACGTGGGGACATGGAATATCCACACCAAGTATGAACCCAGCAAGGCAGCCCAGATTGCAAACGAGATGAAGAGGTATCACATTGAAGTGCTTGTAATTTGCGAAAGCAGATGGAATGGAAGTGGACTCTCCAAACTGTCACTTGAACAATCAATAATCTACTCCGTATTGTCACCCAGACGACAACCACGAACATACTGAGGGAGTGGCTGTCATGATGTCCCAAGAACACCGAAGGCCCTCATACAGTGGAACCAATCTCCTCCAGGATCATCACAGCAAGGTTCAACTCAAAAGGAAGGAAGGTCACAATCATACAACGCTATGCATCTACAAATAATGTAGAGGAAGAGAAAAAGGAGGAATTCTACAGACAACTGCAATCAACACTGGACAAGACCTCAGTTGGCGACATCAAAGTTCTAATGGGTGAGGTGACATGAATGCCAAACTGGGAGCAGACAACACAGGAAGAGAACTAACCATGGGTCGAGAAGCGCTTGGTGAGGTGATGAACGAGAATGGAGAATTGTTTGCAGGATTCTATGCATTCAACGATTTGGTGATTGGAGGTAGTATGTTCAAGCACAAGGATATCCACAAAGCGACATGGAGTTGATTTCACCAGATGGACACACTAAAAATCAAATCGACTTTATCTCAATCTCAAGAAAATGGAGACTCAGTCTACTTGACACAAGGTCAAGAAGAGGAGCAGATGTAGGTTCAAAACACTCACTATCTAGTGCAAGGAACCTTCCAAATCAGGTTAAAAGCCTTCAATGAAGCTGGTGATAGACCTCAATTCAAGTACAACACTCGGAAACTGAAGGATGAAACTATAAAGGAGATCTTCACGGCAGCCATCAAGACAAAATGGGAGATATCGAGGGACATCCCTGAAGAAACCTGTGTGGATGAACACTGGAAGTCTTTGAAAGAGATGTGGAAAGAAACCTGCACAGCCGTATTAGGAAGGAAGAAGAAAGAAGACAAGGAATGGATCTCAATGGATACATGGAAGCTGATAGAACAAGGAGAGGAGGATGGTGAAGCAGAAGATAAACCAGTGCAAGGATGCTCAACGACAAGAGGAACTGAGCACAATGTATAAAACACTACACTGGACAAAGAAGTGAAGAAGAGTGCACGGAGAGACAGAAGGCAGTTTTACGAAACACTGGCAAGTTAAGCAGAACAGGCTGCAGGTAGGAGAGACCTGACAACATTGTATCAAATCACCAGGTTACTATCTGGGAAGAGATCAACACACATGAACCCAATAAAAGATGATGAAGATGATTTAATTACGAAAGAAGAGAAACAAAGGAAACGATGGGTCGACCACTTCAAGAAGCTCTTGAATCGACCACCACCACCACCTGCACTTCGTCCAGAAATACCACCTGCAGTCCAGCCACAGAACTACAAGTGAACATAAATCCTCCAACAAAAGTGGAAGTCCTGAACGTCATAAAGCTACTGAAATGTGGGAAAGCAGCAGGATCAGATGGAATCCTGCCAGAAGCACTGAAGACAGACGCAGAGACAAAAGCGGACAAACTTACACCACACCACTATTGCAGAAGGTGTAGAAAGAAGGGAAGGTACCTGCCAGTGATTGGAAGAAGGGTTACCCTGTCAAACTCCCGAAGGGTGACCTAAGTCTTTGCAAGAACTGGCGCGGAATCATGCTCCTGTCCATCTAGAACAAGCAAAATATTAAGTCGCATCATCCTGGAGACGCTTAAGGATGCACTGCATTCAAAACTACGACCGGAACAGGCTGGCTGGATTCAGGAAGTACAAATCATGTGCGGACCAAATTGCAACGCTACGCTATGCATCATCATAGAACAGAGTGTAGAATGGCAGTCAACTCTCTACCTCAACTTTATCGACTTCGAGAAGGCCTTTGACAGCGTCGATCGACAGTTATTTGGAAACTGCCTCAAAATTACGGAATACTGCAAACCTTTATCAACCTCAATCAACAACAATATGAAGATGCCGCATGCCAAAGAATTCACAATGAGAAGCTCAGTGATGCTTTTGAAGTGAAGACAGGAGTGAAACAAGGCTGCCTACTATCACCCATGATATTCCTAATTGTGGTCGACTGGATCATGCAGCAGACAACAGTGAGGAGTGGGAAGAGGGGGATACGCTGGCTGGACCGCGGAAAAAAACCTAGAAGACTTGGATTTCGCCGATGACTTGTGTCTAGTATCTTGTGGCACAAACTTGGAGATCTACAGGCGAAAACTAACATGTTGGCAGAAGAGGCAGCGAAGACGGGACTTCAAGTGAATGTAGGGAGACGAAGGTGATGAAGATACCCAACCAACAATAACAGCAACAACAAGCTCCAATCACCATCAACAGGAGAAACCTAAAGGAAGTAGCCTCCTTCACCTATCTAGGAAGCACTGTTTCAACTACAGGCGCCACAGGCACAGACGAGGATGTCAAAGTCAGCCAGGATCGGAAAAGCAAGACAGGCGTTCATTAGCCTGAAACCAGTGTGGAGATCTTCTGCACTCAGCATGTGGAAAAAGATCCGGATTTTCGAAACCAACGTCAAGTCAGTGCTTCTGTATGGTTCAGAGACTTGGCGCGTCACGAAAAGCACTTCCAGCAAACTACAGACATACATCAACAGCTGCCACTTACGCCCACTCGATACTCAAGATCAGATGGCCAGAATAATAAGAATAAGCAACAAGAAACTCTGGCTGGCAATGAACCAACGAAGCAATAGCCTATCACCCAACAAATATGCAGAAGGAAGTGGAGATGGATTGGGCATACACTGAGAAGACCGTTCGGGGACATCACGCTCCAGGTCATCGAGTGGGACCCAAAGGGGAAACGACGAGTTAGGCGTCTGAAGGTGACATAGAGGAAATCGTGTGAGGAAGAAATGCAAGCTTGTGGGCTATCGTAGAGCCAGGCTGAAAAGACTGCATAGGATAGAGTGAAATTGAGACGTGCTACTTAAGCCCTATGTTCCACCAGGAACCCAAGGGAAAAATAATAATAAATGATAAAATCCTGTTGATAAATTTACAAATATAAAATTGTTGCTTTTCTCTGAGTTAGAAACAGATATTAGTGATAATGAGTCAAATGAAGACGAAAATGTTTCTTTAATTCATTTATCTTGTCCTAAAGGTTGTAACGGAATTTTTCACCTTCAATATATCAAAAAGTCTTTTTTTTGTTATTGCGAATTCAGTCGGCATTGTCATATCAACCGGAAAGTGGAAAATATGGTGTCATTTGTCGTATTATCTTATTCATTTTAAAGTCATTCCTTATGTGACTTAACTGGTAACATTATTGCACAGCTCGATACAAGAGCTTATGGTTGACCTCTCACCAGTTTCTCTTCAACCTATATTTCGGAGATAACTGCGCATTCAGTGAAATCTATTGATTATCGTGTTTCATGTGCATTTTGTGCTTCGAACGAGATATTTCATTTTTATAAATTATGGTGCGTTGTGATCAAGTAATTTACTTGCATATACACAGGTGAGTTAGATGGCCTAAAATATACGGACAGTAAGTCCCAGACTTTGTATTCTTTTGTGTGCGGTTCGGACATTAGAACGTTATGACTCCTTGTGTGGGCGGATTGGGTAAACGAGAGACTGCGTGAGTATATTCGAAACCAATCACGTTCAAGGTTAGCGTCAAGAATGAATTGGTAGACAGTCACAACCAGACAAAGTTATAACAAATTAGCGACGAGGTTCACTTAGAAGTATGACAAAGTTAACATTTCAGGTTGGAATTCATCATGAACTGATATGAGTTGCAGGAATATTAGAAAACTGATAAATTCAAACCTGAAGTCAATTGATAAATCTCCATAAACCTCCAGACTGAATTAATCTAGCGTATTTCGATGACTAGCTTCGAGCGGTGATTCCTGAAGTTACAATGAGAAGTCATGACTAGTGAAGCCAACCAACCACTGGATTCCGATCCAGTGGCTCCATAATGACGAGCTGGACACGGGACCTGATAGGTCCCGGATCCGATCCATGGCGAGGTCATGGATACACACTGATGAGGAGTCCCATACTAGGACGAAACAGATGTCCAGTGCTTCCAGGTTTCCAATGTTCCTCCGACTGATATCAGTCCATGTTGAATTAAATAAGTTGTCATCGAAAATCCTCGAAATATATTTCCTATAAGCATACAATTAGGCTATAAATATCAACCCAACTAAACGTTCAATACAGATAGCACCAAAAGTCAACCAACTGGGCTGACAAAAATTGCATTAATTTACTTCACTTGTGTAAAGCAAAATTGTACAACTGAATAAACTTGATCACTAAATCAAATGCAAAATTATGTACATGGGATGAATATGTGAGTAGTTTCATAACTATAAAAGAAGGTATGCAAAAGATATGAATAACTATCATTACTACTGTACAGTTTGTTTGGTTACAAGGAAATGATAATAGTAAATAAAAAAATAAAAAAGTAAGGTATATCACAGCAAGTCAAGTAAATAGTTCACACAATAATTACACACTACTTACTATTACCGACAGTAATAACTAATGGGACGAGAATTTAGTGGTGAGGCGAAAAGCTATACGAAGTAAAAAGCCTTACATTTTTTGACCTGTTTGCAGTGAATAAAGAAGCAAATGTTCCAAATTTATCCATACTTCTAATCTTGCTGGGCAATGGGTAACATCTGGTCGACGATACGATGGACCCCAACCTTTACCAAGACTAATATGTATAACTGGATTCCTATGCAGTAGACCATTGTTGTTATTATGTAATTCATCGAAAGAAACATTACCACTCCTAAGTTCAGCAGTACAATTATTGGAGAATGGTCGACAAGATGGGGAATACGATGATGATGAGGTTGAAGAGGATGAGGAAGAGGTAGAGACAGAAGAATTCTGTAAAAATAAACTTTCATATGAGAGAAGATCAAAAACTAAAAGTGAATAACCAGCTGGTACACGATATACCGGTCGATCAATACAAAATTCATCAGGAGTATTAACTGGTGTAGAGGCTGTGAAATCATTAAATTGTAAACATGGAGAAGATACAAATATAGGTAGATTTGTGGCTAATGCTTGATTATTTAACCAAATACAACCATATGTAGTCAGTGTAAGTGATATACCCTGATTGCCAAGACGATAACATTGTTTCCAACCTGAAGATTGCTGATAAAATGATGAATGAATTGTGGTACCTGGAAAATTAGATATACTCTTGAGTAAATTTATATACTGATGACGATGATGATGACGACATTCCTGGCATTGTTTTGAAGATAACATGCTGATATCATTAACATGACCAGAAATACTACTACTATTAATATTAGTAGTAGGAGTAGTAGAGATAACTCTATTCCTTTTTTTATTCAAATGTAATTTACAATTATATTTTATATGATCGGATGACTGGTATAAGGCTAGAAGAGATAAATATATACAATCATTTTGTGATTGATTGTCATAGCTCAGGGGATTTTCATTATGTACACGATGTTTCGGAGAAAGAGATGGTTTATCATCCTCATCATTATATACAATATTCAACGTACGATTTGTTATATCATACCAACGACGTCCAACATGATGATGTGACTCCCAATAGGAGATATTCGCCCATGGTTTATGATGATGAGGAGGAGGAGGAGGAAAAGTTTTCGCATTACTGACTACAGTGAGATGATCAGGCATACGATTAGATTTTGTATGAGGTAGGCAAAAATTCTCATCAATACTGTCATTTGCAACACTGATAGACAAGGGAGAAGGACTGTTAGAAGCTGTAGGGCAATTGAAATCTACTAACTCAGAATTTTCTAGTGATGTTTCCATAGTGGAAGTTGTTGACGGTGTGGCAGAAATTGAAAGCTCTTCATCAGCTGATCGTAAAGAAGGGTACTTCGAAAATAAAGAACAATCTGTGTTTCTATATACATTCTTTAGTTTGCCTAAATCTGGACTCCAATGTGATAAATCCATATGTAATTTCTGTTGCTGTTTACAGAGAAGATGAGATGAGCAGAAATTCTTTTTCATTTTTTCATATTTATCACCTAGTAAAGGTATTGTGGACTTATTTGCTGAATCATGTGATATGCCTGCAAAGAAGGATAAAAAGAGAGAAGGAAGTTAATTTACTACCTGACATTATAGCAATACCCGAAAAATATATACCGGAAGTACATTTTCTTCGAGTCCAGAAGAGTAAACAACAATCCCTTTTATTCAAGTCTAACTGGGGACCGAAAAACTCGATTAGATTGACATATATCTAAGAGATGAATGAGTATGAAGTAGGATGAGATACTTACACAGATTTCTAATACAAACTGTCAACAGACTACTATCTCTGTTGTTTGACACTAATAATCTTCCAATGCTTTACTGGGTTGCATCGCCCTACCTCTGTTTGCAGATGCCTCGATAGACTGATTACTCGTTATGTTGTAATCCGCTTGGTGGCTAGTAGTGAAATCCAGGACCCACATTTCGGCCTATTTAGGACTTGTCAGATGGATGAACCTGCACTCCGACAATGGTGTTGTTCCCAGTGAGGCTTCAAACACCAAAGCGTTATCATTTGGGTCTTTGAGTACGAGAGCCGCCTCTTTTGCAACGGGTATCAGATGTGAAGCAATTTAACCCAGTATAGCGACAGAAAATTACAAGCATTAATAAACATCGAATGATACAGGTTGTACAAACTCTGATTCTCCTGTCTCAATGACCTAGTGAATAACTCTTCAGCGCTTGAAGCGACAGGTACTGAGTTCGGGAGTCGGTGGGAATAAGATCACCCACTAGGGTGCCGGTACATCAAGCCAACGAGTCATGAAGAGGACAAATCGCGCATCCTGATAGGTTCCACCGCTAGTCACCACACAGATTACAACAGAATACAATCTCAATAAATTCTTTGTATCTAGTATGATGCGTTATATGGTCAAGTACAACAACTTATAAGGACTATAATAGATGTTACAAATATGAGTGTCTGTCCAGACAAAGATTAGGAATAACCAATTTACAATGTATAGGTTAATGAGAACGTTTATCAGCTTCAGGAGAAACCCAGAAGTGAGTCTATTTTATATCATATCCTTAATGATAAATATTATTATCAATAGGAATATCTTTCAAAAAGAAAAAAACAAATAAATTTAATGGTTGAAAGCCTCAGGTATCAACCCCATAGTAGATCGATTCGAAAAAGCATTAGCTGTGCATTTAGGCTACAGATTTGTTGATATGAAGACAGCATATTTGGTAATAACGTGAATAGCAATTAAATTTTCGAATCCAGTAGTGAACGTAATAAAAAACTTCAATTGTCTAGGGATCACAAAGACAACCAGCTGATAAGTACTCATAACCACAAAATATAGCTTCGAGAATTCCGTACAATTTTTCACTAGTCATACAAAGCATCAAGTGCAGTACATCACGATGTCAAATCAATCAACTTGATAGCCTTATTAGAAACTTGATCACTGACCAGAGATCGACTAGTGCATTCATGTAGCCTATAGTTTAACAGTTGTTTAGTTCGATCAGTATGTAGTAAATGAATCAGGTGAGTTTATTTATAGCAGTTAACAGTCAAAAATTTTCATACACTTCAGACAAATAAACTGTTCATTGTATTTAAGAGAATTAGATGTTATAATGTTCTCTACATAGAAAGGAATACCTACTTACGGATGTCCCAAAAGACATCTAACAGTTGAGATCTAGTTCAATAAATGGCATCCATTCACGGTAACAGAAATCCACTTAGTAACCTTGTACACATTTGTGCAGTAGACAATAAGCTACACGTATTGTGTGAAGCTAATGATACTACTTAGGTGCTCACACTTCAGTAAGTAGGTGGAGCAAAGTTCAAAATTGTGATCTACCGACTGAAAGTCAACTCCTTAAACCAATCACCTGCAACTCCACATTCATGTTAACAATGTTAATAACACAATTACCCCCAGTTGAGCCTTACGCACTACTGAACAAAATGAGTCAAACTGAATCACTGACTTATTATCTTCTTTCTCCGACAGATAAAAATTATCTCTTTTTTTGCCTAGTAATAAAGCAACTCTAGTTCAAAACTTCTCTATCTAAATGTTCAGTTCACTCTTATCCGAATTCATAAAACTTTAAACTACCACGTTAAAAAATAATCATACGCATTATTTTATCAACATAAATTATCGTGAGTATTCGTGAATTTATTCATCAATTCAACACAAATTCAAGTTTTCCTTCCAGTAACAAAGTAAGGAAGTCAAGACACAGAGCACAATAAGTACTTGGTATTCAACCGTTAAAACTCAGTCACTGGTAAAGTAGTCGAATATTGTTGAATCATTGTTACACTACTTGTGAGTAGTGTGCATCTTTAGTAGTTCGAAAGAAATTCATAATTCCATCGAAAGTAACTGGTACAATAATGATAATAATAGCGTTATTCCAAACCAGAATTTTGTTTGAAGTACAGAATTCCCGGCATGTGTTATTGGATCAGTTTACTCGTTGTATAACACTTGCCAAATATTTAAACTGGTTAATGACTGAAGGTGAAACAAAAATTAAGACCGCGGCCGGATTCGAAATAGTGATCACCAGGTTTCCGGTACGATGCTCTAACTAATGGGCTACGAGGTCCAACTGATTTTTATTTCACTTCAATTACTAATGGTTTTGCCCAACTATCATGTGAATTTGTGACATGTTACTATCGCTTGATCGTATTCACATTGGCTACCCAGTCAGGACATCTCATCCCAATCCGAAAATAACTGTAATAGAGAGCGGGACTGGTATATTGATTATCATTCGACTATCTGAGATAGCCGTAGTTTGGCAGACTAGCATTTATTAAGAATGGTGTTAGTTAACAAAATATAATCAAGAATAACAGGATTACCGAAACGTTTAAAGACTACAGGGACATGAAAACTCTTCGCTACTGCACAGTTGATTGATAAAAAAACGTGTAACATGATTTATTTTAAACAATACATAATCTAAATAAGGTGCATAGGATGGTTGTCATCATATAAAAAATTTTTATCTAGCTGTCTATAAAAGTTTCGATGCCTATCAAGAACCGTATCTAGCTGCACGGTGAGTGGTGTATTACTTGCTCTACCAACAGTCTTCAAAATCCCATGCAATAAAGTGTAGTCTCTTTTCTCGAGTCAGGAAAAGAATAAAGGGGAACAATAAGCAAATATAGGCAAAACACAGGAATTAATGAGGTGTAAGAGTAAAGGCTGAGTTATCCTAGACAGTCTGAGTTTCCTTATATACAAGGTCAAGCGAAGGATCTTCCCGGAAATCAGTTAAATATGAAGTGACCAAGAAAGATCAGAAGAAAAGCACAAGCCGAGATGGATCACGTTTGATACATTTCCTACAGCAGAGCCATCTATAAAACAAGATTCATGTGACTGAAGTATTTTACACAAGTTTTGTTCACGTTTTAAACTAAAATTAACCATATGATATTTGGAAGGATTGAGTGTGAGGCCATTTAAGGAAGACAAGTGACTAATTTCTGTTAGGAAGTTATTCAACTGAGAATAATCAGAAGAAGAGATGATCGGCGTGGATACTGTCAGGTCATCTGCGTACTTAACAAAGTTAGCTTTATTTGAGGTTGCTAAGTTACGCAAAAAGAAAGAGAAAAGAAAAGAAGAAAGAGCAGCACCTTGAGGAAAACCGGCTTTACTAAGTAGCGAAGTAGAGTGCTTCCCTCTGTATAGAGTGTAATGTGTTCTCCAAAAAAAATAAGAATCAAGTCACTTTGCAGTCATGGACTCGATGTGTGTTCTGGCAAGCTTGTTTAATAAAAAGGGGTTTAGGAACAGAATCAAAGGCAGATCCAACATACTTGTTCAGACTGTCAATCATACAAGCACACCTATAAAAAGAAATCAATATGGGTTAGAGTTTAACAGCAATGTGGAAAGTGTTTCATCGATGCATACTTTTGTTTACGGCGAATATAAACAACAACAAACAGTATATGCATCGTACCTGAATCAAATGACTGATCTTTGCAAACAGATGTGGTTTGTGTTTCGGTAAACGACGATGCTGTTTCTGTTCCTGATGATGATGAAGATGAAGATGATGACAATAGTAGTGACATATGTTCAGGATAACCCGAGTTCGGATTAGTCTCTTTAGATGAATAAGATTTACAATAGTCATGATTACGATGACCAATAGAGTTGAATCCCAAGCAAACTATATCTAATTAAAACAAAATAAATGAAAAGGCGATATTTTAAAGAAGAAAAATATTATTAATCGTTTGTTACAGACAAGAGATTAAAAAACTAAACACAGCTTAATGCCTATGAGTAACTGTTACGATCGAAAAGTGAGAAATAAAGTTAGTTATCAAAACGTACACAAAAAAACACGTGGAAAACCACTTATGCTGGAATGATAAAACATTACGTAAAAAATAGGATCTTTTCATAGATGACACAGGTTTTACTGGTGAGAAATTTATCATAATAGTTGAATAGTACTGAAATTAAGTAATTAGGCGTACGGCTCCAGTGTGTACCAAAACTGTCAGTAACATAGGTTACAAGAGAACTAATGTTACAGACCATCTACCATAACTTGATAGAAAGAGCGAAATCCCCGATTAAATGGTAGAAAACTATCTGTCTAGACCATTCAATCAACAGTAAAACTCAAAGGACATAGAACCAAACTAAACTATCGTGAAGGAAATCGAAACTCGGCACTTTTAGAAATAATCACTTTAAAAGTACCTACAACCCCTGAAGAGGTCGTGAATGCGTACTGCTGAGAAGTTGGACACCAGGATGAAACAGCTGTCCAATGTACTCCTAGGTTTTCAATCATTCTACAACTGATTTCAGTCCGTGATGAATACTACCTTAAAAATGAAACCCTCATAAACCTCAAACTAAATTCTTTTTTTAGTAGATAAATCGATTTATGTATTAAATTATTTTTCCAAATTAAAAATAGATGAAGTTAGTTAAACATCGCAGAAAAATACGGTGTACGATGTTCGATAATGAATGAAGCAAAATCGACTAACGTGTCAAAACAAAGAAGACATCATTACATCAAAATTAATCTTTAAAGAAAATGAAAATACGAAAGTCAAGACAGTGACAATATATCAGTAGAGATGAAAACAAGGATGAGAAACAAATCAGGGAAAAATTTTATACTGGGTGATGATTGAAGGTGAGATGAAAATTCGGAAAGTAGCCGGACTCAAACCAGCGACCACCGGGTTACCGGTCCGATGCTCTATCAACTGAGCTACGAGGTTCGGGCATCGAACCGGTAACCTGATAGTCACTGGCTCGAGTCCAGCCACGTTCCGAATTTTCATCTCATCTTCAATTATCACCCAGTATAAAGTACTAGTCTGCCAAACTACGGCTATCTCAGATAAAGGAAGAATTGCAAAAAGCAGTCAGAAAGTCTCGAAGTCATTAAGTAATCTTGTATACATTCATGCAGTAAGCAACCAGCCACATCTTATGTGTAAGTGCTAATGATAATACCTGCCCACCTAAAGCTCGGTAGGTAGAGTGGGACTCCAACCCACAGCCTATTGGTTGGAAGTCAATTAACTAGACCAATGGGCCACGACTTCACCCAGAAAAAGCTGTAATCAATAATGAAACAGACCAGTGAGCATCAATTCACATCTATTATATATTCGCACTGCGCCAGGTCCTGGAACATAGGCATGCTTACAGACGCCCGACAATAGCAGTATTTCTCGACCTGAAGGCGGCATTTGACTCCGTTGATCGAGAATTCTTATGGCAGTGTCTGTCACTGAAAGGCGTGCCTAGTAAGTACATCACGTTATTGAAAGCTCTCTACTCGAACACTTGTGGGCATGTTAGAGCCTATGGTGAGTTGTCCAGGGAGCTATACTCATCAAGTGGTGTCCGTCAAGGATGCCCACTATCCCCATTCTTATTTAATTTTATCATAGATATTCTTATGGAGGTTTCCCTCTCATCACCTGATTACACAGACGTTGACCCGATCACAGGTGAATTTTCCTTAGATCTAGAATATGCAGATGACATAGTCCTGTTAGGTGAAGACGCTGACAAGATGCAGTCTTCTGAACACTTTGAGTGGGAATTTGAGAATGTTTGGGATGCGATTTTCACCACCCAAATGCAAATTTTTGCTCCAGGACTGGTCTTCAGCGGTACCGCGGTTAACAATAGAGAGTGAAGTGGTTGAGTGTGTTGACCACTTCACTTACCTGGGAAGTAGGATCAACCCGGTGGGTTAGTTGCCGATGAGATTTCTGCACGGATACAAAAGGCTCGATTGGCTTTTGCCAATTTGCGCCACCTATGGCGCCGCCGTGATATTCGTTTGTCTATTAAGGGTCGCGTGTACTGCACAGCAGTCCGCTCTGTTCTACTGTATGGCTGTGAAACATGGCCATTGAAAGTGGAGGATACAAAAAGGCTCCAGGTGTTTGACCACCGTTGCCTTCGTAGTATAGGACGTATTCCGTGGTGTCACCATGTGAGTAATGCAGAAGTTAGGTGTAGAGTTTTGGGGAGAAGAGGTAAGTCAGTCGACGAGGTTGTGAACCTTCATCGACTGAGATGGTTGGGACACGTACTACGTATGCCTAGTCACCGATTGCCTCGTCACACAATGTTGGCTGAGGTGGGTTCAGGCTGGAAAAAGGCCCGAGGTGGCCAGACTAAAACATGGCACCAATGTATGAAGTCTCTGACTGTTGGTTTAAGCCATGTAGGACGATGCAGACTAGGTGGTTGGGGTCCACGGGACAAGAAGAACCAGTGGTTGGAGACCCTAGGTGATATGGCTCAGAACCGAAGTCAGTGGCGCAGATGTATACACACATTATCCTCATCTTAACAACGCTATACCGAATCTCACTATTTTGTCACTCCTCTTTCCTTTCTTCTCGTACTTTATATTTCTTTTGACTGCATTCACTTATCTTCATCCTTCACCTCACTACCTTTTTACTTGATGTGCTGATATGAGTGTGGCAACTCGGACCGTTACGCAGTAATGCCTGGTCCTATGTTGATAATGATGATGATGATGATTATATATGAGTTTGTGATACCCCCCGATGACGCAATCAGAAATAGACTGAGAGAGATTCGAAAACCAGACTCATCACTTTCAAGTTAAATGAGCCACAATTTTACCCAAAATGCAGTAGAAATACATAACTAAGAGGTATTCAAGATTTAAAGTGGCATAAACAATAGCGGATACATATATCTGTACAACTGCAATCAACACCAAAGTGTAATTGCTTACTAGGTGATTATTATTTGCTAACCGAGGATAAGATAAATCCATAACACGTAATTTCAGCTTAACATCAACAAATATCAAGCAAAGATGTTTTATAAAAAACAAAAAAGTAACACACATGACAACATATATAATACAGGGAAGACTAATCCCTGAGCAAATAACATTGTTATGCTTGCTGTGGGTGAAAACAGAAAGTAACAAAATAAAAAACTGATTCACATTCTCATATCTATTTTACAAGGAAAAGAAAAGACAAGGATAAAAAAAGTAAGGCAGTACACATACACATATATTTATGGATTCTAATGTAAACATGAAGTTGCATGTTTCAATGGAAGCAAACAGAGGGGGGCAGGAATGACAACTAAAAGCACTATGAATGACATATTTGATAAGATTGGCGCCAACAAGAAATGAGGCTAAACAACCGGTTAGAAGGAAGATCTTATCGTTAATTCATCAAATTCAAAAGGTCAACAATAAAGTTTATGATAGACATGAACAATAATGAAAACAGCAACGATAATAATAATAATAATAATAATAATAATAATAATAATAATAATAATAAAGGTCCCATCTGCACATACATCAGCATTCATATAACGCACCCTCAGTGAAAGTGAATATAACAGTACAACAAACGTGATTATTACTGTTATTATTATTATCATGGACGTTAAAAATCACCCAGAAAATTCGGATATAACTCTCCAATATATAATGAATGTATATGCATGCTTTCCATAAATAGCATTGTCGTTTCCCAATGATTATAGTTATTATGTAAGACAATAAGAATGGAAGATAAGCTGAAAATACCAGACTGTAGTCAAATACACTACAGAAAAATTGGTGGCATGTAGTACATAAGGCGAAAATAACACAAATGCAAGCGAATAAACAGCCGATTGAAGAGTTGAAAGCATCTAAACCCCCTATTTTCACACTGTTGGTGTTGATGTTGTTTTACAGACGATGCAACTGACATCTTGTGTATGCACACAGGGGAATAGTTTTTATTGTAGTAACAAAATGCCGAATCATTTCAAGTAGACAGCATATATATATATATATATATATATATATATATATATATATATATATATATATATACGGTATCCGAACAACTTAATCAAAATGTCTACAATAATCACATATGTTAAACAGTAAAAGAAATACATAGAGTTGTACTAATTCAAAGAGTGAAAGTTGTTACGAAAGGCGAAATCAAGTTGATTCAATTTGTAACTAGTTATTTATAAGTAAACGAAAAACTGAAAAAGTAGTAGTTGTAATAATAATAATAATAATACTTAATCCGTCAGACAACCTTTTATGCGAACAGCCTAATAACCTCATTTGAGTTTACAATAAATCTGATTATCATACGCTAGTTAACACTTCGTTTCACCTGGCTAGTAATCTGCAGGCCAGTTAAACCATTCGGCGAAGCGTACCACCCAAGAATGCAGTCATCTCTCCTCCAAGTGAATCGTTAGATGATAAGCAACACTATCTTATTTCAATAACTGTCTCTCCAGTTCCTAACTGAAAGAAGCCCTAGTATTTTCATCGTATAACTGGACTCACAATGATCTTGTAGCTAGATTTCCCCCATTTCCATTTAGGTGTAGACATATACGTGTTTGAACAAACGTGTGATCGCTGCCTTAGCACATGCTTCAAAAAGTGGTTATCTTTGACTGACCCTCTCCAGATATAACTGATAAAAGTGTAGGTTATCTGTGTACGCCATTGAGCCGAAGTTAGCTTTGGTCACAAATGGATGGTTGTCTACACACTTGTAGCAGGCGATCACCGTTATCTGGTCCTTCATATGGAATTCTTAACTTCCTACCTAAGACCCCATCTCCCGAAAATACCCTACCTACTTGTGCACCGAAATCACC